TCTCTCCTTCTGCCGCCTTCTTCTCTCTCTCTCTCTCCCCCTCCTTATCTCCGGTTCGTTCTTATTTTCTTGCATGAATGAATGTGAGATACATAGAGTGTGTGTCGATAAATTTAATAAAATTTCTACTATACATATTGCATACCGCATTGTAAAATAAAGTTGAACGCTGCTAGAACCAACAAATGTTTGAACGTTCCAGCAAAATTTATGCCAAAACTTCGGTTTTCGGGCGTTGGAAGCATTTTGATTTACTGTGTGCAAACTAATATTACTTGAAATGATGTAGTGATATGCGGTTCTGTGAATTGATAGCGTCTCTGTCTCTCCCATTCACTCATTCACTCCACTCGCCCACTCACTCGTGATGCGTTGCGTGCTCAGGCCAATGTGATCCCTTTCTAGCATTCACATTTAGGTGCATTGCACAACACACACAACACACTCTTGACCCACACTCAAAGGCATGCGTCTGCCTTGGCAACATTACATCTATAAGTATTTTCAGTCACATTATTCGAGACGAAAAATGAATCAGTGCGAAAAACGAACTTGCAAATTACGGTGATGAGTAACACGTTGGCCTCTAAGCTTCTCTCGGGATCGTAAGAAGACATACAAAAACACGCTACGGCTACCAAAACCATTGAGAATTGCTGCATTTTCAAGCCACTAAACAAATTATCATTCCGAATATTATGGTATCTCTCTGTGTTACAATTGCGCTTTGTTGTTGTTGTTATTGTTGTAGTTTTTTCTTGCTCTTTCACTCTTCTTCATTTCGTTCCCATATTTTTCAATACACTCAATCAGAACGTACATTTTGTCACTAAATTGTATTTGTTTTCGTTGTCCTCCCCAACACAAAATGCAAAATTGATGAAAACATTTATTTTTCGGTTCAATTTAAACAAATTTCAAAATAAAATATGCGTAGTCGTCGGCTCACACACAAAAAAACGACAACGGCATAAAAAATACTTGTGAAAGTATATATATGTCGTTATCATGGTGGTACCTTATTTTTTTCCGGACCCTAAAATTGCAACCTACGCTCAGTACAGCACACATTCGATTTGTGTTCATCATTACACAAATTATTAGTCATTTCTGTCTCACGTAATATTCCACATGTTTTCATTGTTACCGCTGCATTTTGATGTTAATATACAACGTATTAAGCATGTATTCGCCATGTAGAATCATTGTTCGCTTTTACATATGATATGATAGCAATTACACAATAGTTTGTAACACTAAGTGCAGCACAATGTGAAATGAAAAAAAGCAGCAGCAGCAATAACAACAACAACAACATATTATTCACTCAGTCGTTCA